TAACCTAACACCAAACTTACTTAACCTAACACCAAACTTACTTAACCTAACATTAACCAAGCACTAACTTAACTTAACCTAACTTAACACAAACCTAAATTTATCTAACACTAACCTATCATTAGCCTAACCTTAATCAAAACCTAACCTAACCCTCAAGGCAGCTTTATGAAGAAAAATTATTCTTCCTGTGAAATAAGCTGGAATGAAAGAAGCCTTACCTTAAGCTGATCCCGAATTGTATACAACACTATACAGTATACACCATTAAGATTATACATTCATACACCCTATTGCTTTCCCTCATTAGACAACACTAAAATCATACTTTTATCTATCTATCTATCTATCTATCTATCTATCTATCTAACAGTTGGCAGGTCGAGAAATAGCTATCAGCGTCTTAGAGCGGTGATGTAAAGCTGCTTTGTACACGTGATAACCTGATACGATGGGGGATTAGGAGGTACTGTGTGTGTGTGTGTGTGTGTGTGGCAATCATCATCATCACTACCATTACTTCACTATAACTACCACTAACACAACCACCATCACAATCACAGCCATCACAATCACCATCATCACTACCTCCATCACAATCACCATCCTCACTACCATCATCACAATCACGTTATCAACTCGAGTCAGGTATTCAACCCTAGGTGTGACTTACCCAACAGCTCAAAGCGCCATGGTATACAGTAAGCTGTTATGGTTGCGAGAGAGAGAGAGAGAGAGAGAGAGAGAGAGAGAGAGAGAGAGAGAGAGAGAGAGAGAGAGAGAGAGAGAGAGAGAGTTATCACAATGTAAACAGTATCAGTGTATTTCACAGGACACGCTCCACAATGGCCGACACTGAACCAAAAAAACCAAAACAATTGACAGTCACGTAGAGACATTAAATATTGCGAAATTAATACCCAGTTACTGCCTTAACTTTATGATCAATATTATTTTGTAGTTAAAGGAATATTTAATCTATATTTAAAGAGAGAATTAAGTCATTGGCAAACAACATCTTAAACACTGAAGTCAAATTCTTTCTCTCTCTCTCTCTCTCTCTCACAGGCATAAACACAGAAAAACAGTCATACGCAGATAAAGACACACTAAGACTCAAGGTGACGAAACCAACCATAAAATTCTTATACACACACACACGGGGGAGAGAGAGAGAGAGAGAGATATGTGTCACCCGAGTGAAACATTCACGCCACGACACACACACACATGCTTCTACAGTATATTGTTCACTGGGCTTTTGTTCATTGCAACTTTGTCCATTGAAAATTTATCCAGTGGAATTTTCTTGAAGGATAAATTCATCCAAGGTCATATACGTACGTAGTTCCGTGTACAAACAAATGGACAGACAAAATTCCAGTGAACCAAATCCCCCCTCCCCACCCTCTTCTTACTCCCCCCCTCTTCTCCTTCCTTCCCTCCCCTAGCCCTCCCCCTTCATCACTCTGGGAAGAAATTGGTAACAAGGAAATAGTTCTTAATAATTGCATATCCTTAACCCTTTAGAAAACAACGTATCTCTTAGGTATTTTATTCTGGCTACCACAACTACAATCAAAGCTACTGAACTACTACTACTCAAATGACTACGATTACCTAACTACTACCACTAATACTATCAATACTAGCATCACAACTCATAATATTACTACAAAGTATTCATTAACTCGTAGTATTAACACATAAGAAACTAACTTTACCCTTCGTTTGTGTAACTTGTCAGTGCACGAGTGTGTGTGTGTGTGTGTACAGTACAATGCAGAGTACGTTCATAGTAAGTCGTTCGAGTGTATATTGGGTTTTACGACAAATCCCTGGTATGGCCTACTTTCTTTCTGCACCTGTCGCTATACGTATGCAGGACGGACACTCACACACCTCCTGATTCTGTACAACAACACACTCAGTTATTCACAATTTGAAACTGTTCCAAGCACATATTCAGACTCGCTACAGTGAGAGACAACCATTTAGTATTTAATTGAACGAATCCACAAGCAAATCAAATCAGTTCAAAAAATTCATCCCGCATGTTCGGAGTCTTCGCAGTGTAACGAGATGTATTGGTGGTTCGTGTTGTTGTTGTTGACGTTATAATTTATTACTGCACTTCGACAACTATAAGTCGTTTAAAGCGTATATTTTACTGTATGTATTACTGCGCTTCGACAACTAAGGTCTTTAAGTATGTATTCTAGGTTATTTAATATACTAGTAACCAATAACTAGTTATTAAAAGAAATACATCATTCATCATCCTTCGGTTTCGTCATGGTTATATCGGGAACTCGTGACAAAAAAACTACCAACCGCAGCGTCAACACCACTCCTCCCAGGTAGAACTCTCGGAAACATTGACAAACTCCTCCATAACGTCGGGAAAATAGTAATGATTAATCAAAATTCACAGCAAACAGTAACACATGTACGAAGAAATGACTCGCTCTTTGTAGGTCACCAATACACAGGAACATACTTATAGTGAACGACTCTGCGAAAATCACAGCATGACTTGAGGCTTGACGTGTAAATAAATACCGGTTAGGAGGAAGGTTGGAAAGAAGCAGAAGGTCCAGTATAATTACGGGATCGTCAGCTTGAGTAAAGTAGCAGTTTCAGAAATACACACCCTACACACACACAAGCTGCAACACACACTCGCTAGACAACTATTTTCACATTTTAAAGGACTGGTGGCATCCTTGACTCAACTGGTCGACGAGTTTAAAAGGTTCGTTGGCCAAGATGTTCCTCGCAATTGGAGATGTAAGAACGCATCTAACTGACTAACTTGAGCAACAACATTAAAAAACACACACCCCCCCCCCAAAAAAAAACACCCGGATCATCTTAAAATTTATTCCTTAACTTATTTCACCTGCAGATTAACACCCTAGGATTTATTAAGTTTTAGTACAGTTACGAGGAGGAAGGTTAGGTTAGGTTAGGTTATTTATTGGTCCAGTTACGAGGAAGTAGTGTAAGTATGTCAACACTCACACCTCCGTCTTTTCGGGTCCAGGAATGAGGGAGAACAGGAAGTGTAAATAATGTCAAAGTAGTTCATTTTTAGATGTTTGTGTCTATTTTAGTGTTGAGGGGAATGTCTTCTACCACCACCACCGCCACCACCACCAGCCTAATCACGCCCCCATCACCAACCACCAGCCTAACCACGCTCCCATCATCACCACCAGCCTAACCACGTCCCCATCACCACCACCAGCCTAACCACGCCCCCATCATCACCACCACCAGCCTAACCACCCCCCATCACCAACCACCAGCCTAACCACGCCCCCATCACCACCACCAGCCTAACCACGCCCACTTCACCACCACCAGCTTAACCGCGCCCCCATCACCATCACCACCCTAACTACGCCTCCATCACTATCACCACAATCACCTTCACCACACCTTTCATCACCATTCACCACCACGGCCTCCACCATTGTCAAGGATTAGGAATTTCCTGGTAATTGACTCCCAGAGGACGGACACTAGTCCTCCACCATATGACACTAATACTCCACCATGTGTCACTAATACTCCACCATGTGACACTAATACTCCACCATGTGACACTAATACTCCACCATGTGACACTAATACTCCACCATGTGTCGCTAATACTCCACCATGTGTCGCCAATACTCCACCATGTGTCGCCAATACTCCACCATGTGTCGCCAATACTCCACCATGTGTCGCCAATACTCCACCATGTGTCGCTAATACTCCACCATGTGTCGCTAATACTCCACCATGCTAATACTCCACCATGTCGCTAATACTCCACCATGTGTCGCTAATACTCCACCATGTGTCGCTAATACTCCACCATGTGTCGCTAATACTCCACCATGTGTCGCTAATACTCCACCATGTGTCGCTAATACTCCACCATGTGTCACTAATACTCCACCATGTGTCACTAATACTCCACCACGTGTCACTAATACTCCACCACGTGTCACTAATACTCCACCACGTGTCACTAATACTCCACCACGTGTCACTAATACTCCATGTGTCACTAATACTCCACCATGTGTCACTAATACTCCACCATGTGTCACTAATACTCCACCATGCGACACTAATACTCCACCATGCGACACTAATACTCCACCATGCGACACTAATACTCCACCATGTGACACTAATACTCCACCATGTGTCACTAATACTCCACCATGTGTCACTAATACTCCACCATGTGTCACTAATACTCCACTATTGTGTAGTGTGGTTGGTGGTGGAGGTAGTATATGCGGGACCGGGAGTGTGGTGGAGGGGTAAGTGATGGAGAGGGAAGTGGTGGAGTGTGGTGGTGGAGTGGACGGAGTGGTAGTGCTGGTGTGTTTATGGTAGCGGTTCGTATGGTAGTAGTAGTAAATGTCAACTCTGGCACCGAACCACGTACACACCTGGTCACGTCACGTCACCTCACCTCGTACCAACATACACAATCTGCCAACCCTCCCTCCCACAACACGTCTACCACATCTCCACTATGCCACACATCCTCTGCCATTACCTCTCTGTGCCACACCTTAACTCTCCTCTACCACATCCGGTCAGTCAGAGGGCACCACCACAACATCTATTATATGTGTGTTGCAGCGTAAAGAGACGGACGGGGTAGCTGTGAGCAATGTGTACAGCCTTAAGGAGTCAATCAAGCGAGGTAGATCAATCTGTACAATGTGTGTTGTCAAGACTTCTATACAAACAGACTCACTGTATGTATCACGTCTGCGTTAGCCTATCAACACTCTCAACAGACTTATTTGGCACTTGGCATAAATTTTGCGCGAAAAATCTCTACCAAACGTCAACACAGATTTATATTCACTACTTTGCTTAAAGACACATGTTATGCACAGTAAGTATACGACAAGAACTATCGCGTGGAGAGATGTATTCTTGGTCACTGAATCACAATGGTGGTCATGGATAAGTAAGCTTACCTTTAGCTATCTCGCGTGCTTTAGTTCCTGGTGGTTCCGGAGGTGTGAATGGTGAAGTCGGAGGTGGTGATGGTCGGCCACGATCACAACACACACTACCAGGCCACAACCACTGCCAGCCAGCCCCGGCCCGCAGCACCAGGGTGGAGGGCGGGATTAACCCTCCTTACATCATCAACTGACTCCGCCCACCCTACCAGTTGGCTACCCTCAACGCCTCACTTACTCCCGAACAACATCATTTGCCTTGTACTTAAGATATTATACGAAATGTTACCATGAAACAGGAATGTGAACCACAACACCGGTCGTAAGTTAATCAGTAACAGTCGCTTTGGTATGTGTGTGTCCCAACAAGGGGGTTGCCCGGGACCTACAAAAGTTAGACCACACGAGAAAATACTGGGACATCTTTCTGCCTTATATTAAATCATGATCATCTTGTTACTATCAGGGAGAATTATATGAGCCGGAATAATCCCCGTAATATCTAGTAATAATCAGAAAGAATGAAGCGTATTCTAGGTGATGGTACAAATACAGGGTGTCTCAATAAAATATACACACTGCCTTGAAAGATTTTCGTGACAATCGCATGAATTATTTTAATACAACAGCAACATTGACCTTACTTGTTGATCTGTTAGAACTCCAACAATTGAGGATAATATTGCTGCTGTTGTAATGTAATAATTCACGAAGTCTTAAAGCAGTGTGTTTATATTTTCTGAGACACCCTGTATTTTCACCCTCCATCCCGGGGAAATATGTAAGCAGCAAAAATGTATACAAACGTCCATCACCACCACTGAGCCCCAGAAAAACACACCAGACAAGTGAACAACCTACCTCAACACTTATACGAACTTAAGAGAGCGAATACAATATTAAGTAGATTACCTGAAGATTAGGCACCCTAGCTTATTCTCACCTAATGATTAAATACTCAAAAACAAACCTATCCAAACCTAATAAAATCAAACCCAATCCTCCTAGGTAACGTCAAGGTGTTTAATGACCAGGTGAAGTTAGTTAAATGGCTAATCTTCGCGTGAGTCGAGTAAACTACTACATATAAATAATCATTTTCTAAGCCATCCTGTGCGGCTGAACGATCTGAGCTTAAATTATCATGCTTGTAACTCCTGATCATGTACGATTACTTTTATTATTGTTATTATCCTCTTCTTCCTCTTAGTGTTAGTGTTAATATAATAAAAGTTATTAGGTTCAGTAGTAGTAGTAGTAGTAATAGTAATGGCAGAAAACGTACACTGGTGCTAGTAGTAGTAGTCCAAGGTGAGGATGTATCATGCGCTCACATATACCCTAAACGTAACGATACGGTGAAGTACTTGTCCTTCGCTAATAACAGACGACCAGGTAGTTGAGGTGTGACGTGTGCCTGTGTGTGTGTGTGTGTGGTCCTGTACGCGCGTAACTCAGAGAGAGAGAGAGATTGTATACCAGCATGAACTAACAATCCTCATTCGAGTTCCAAATTTACATATACAAATAAATAAACAATTAAGTCGCAATAAAGTCTTCTGCCAACAATGCCTTCTAACACAACTACTTAATTTCTACCACTAATTATCTATACAAACTGAGGAGGAGGAAACGATCATTACAGCTCCTGAATAACTTGGTACAGAGATAGTTTAAAAGACTAACAACATACTTTCATTATATACATTTACATGTACATTAGCACATTAACTTATTGTGAGTTTCATGAATATTGATCACCAAATTTTTCAGGTGAGTGTAAACAAAATAACTTGTTCTTATTCTTGTTCTTGTTCTTCTCTAGTCTTTGATACTTCACCATCTCCTATTATCATTATAAACCCTCCCTTATTATTGTTCATACTCTCCAACAATAGTAAGTGTCTACAATCCACGGGTAATTCACGCCTTACCTAACGCTGATCTGGCTCAACATACACAGACCACTGTAGGGACAAAAACTCACCGGACATGTTTGGTATCACAATATGATATTAAGGTTGAGAGAGTTTTCCCCGGTGAGTTTTTGCCCTACTCCCCGAAACAAGCCAGCTTACTTGACACGATTATTATAGAAGTGAAATATTCTGCTTTTGCCTTTACCTGTATCTGTACCTGTGTGTTTGTACCTGTTCTTGTATCTGTACCTGTGTGTTTGTACCTGTTATTGTATCTGTACCTGTGTGTTTGTACCTGTTATTGTATCTGTACCTGTGTGTTTGTACGTGTTCTTGTATCTGTACCTGTGTGTTTGTACCTGTTCTTGTATCTGTACCTGTGTGTTTGTACCTGTTATTGTATCTGTACCTGTGTGTTTGTACCTGTTCTTGTATCTGTACCTGTGTGTTTGTACCTGTTCTTGTATCTGTACCTGTGTGTTTGTACCTGTTATTGTATCTGTACCTGTGTGTTTGTACCTGTTATTGTATCTGTACCTGTGTGTTTGTACCTGTTATTGTATCTGTACCTGTGTGTTTGTACCTGTTCTTGTATCTGTACCTGTGTGTTTGTACCTGTTCTTGTATCTGTACCTGTGTGTTTGTACCTGTTCTTGTATCTGTACCTGTGTGTTTGTACCTGTTCTTGTATCTGTACCTGTGTGTTTGTACCTGTTCTTGTATCTGTAACCTGTACTTGTATTACGTGACTGTATTGTTGCATCTGTATATCATGAAATCCTCTTACAGTACCCACTATTACACACAGACAGTATAGCACACCTTATTACACCGACACAAGGACCTGTTATAATCATCTACTTCAAGCATACACATGTTCCCGCTAGCCGTGTTGACAGGACCATCACGTCTCAGCAATCTTGTTGTGTACTCCCGTATGGTTTCTCGTGCCTTTCATCTTACTCTGACTTCTAGATAGTGAGCTGAGGTGTGTGTGTGTGTGAGGGAGGGGAGGTAGACTGTGTGTATTGGGGGATGTGTGGGGGGATGTGTGTGTGTGGGGGGGGATGTGTTTGTGTGTGTGAGTGCGTATGTGTTCACCTGGTTATATTTATGTATCTTGTCACTTTGTGTATACTATGTTAGACGCCCTTAGTGAAGCTACGCCAAGCGGGTATTCGTCTACCTTTTTCTGCCTGTGGTGGCGCTCCTCTGTGATACGAATACAGTACAGAATTTATGGTAATGAGAAGAACTACGTCACATACCAGGAATGACGATAATAGTTGTGTATAAATTAATGGTTCTCAAGTTACCTTACTCGGATGTTAGCGGTTGTCAGCGGCTTGTACCAGCGCCTTGTACAAACGTCTTGTGTCATTTCTAAGCCATGGAACTACCCTCCTAGTGTCAATTCTTACTAAAACATTAAATTTTCAGCAGCCATTAAGCGTGCTATATAGTGATATTTCTTGCTGAGGGCAGGTGTTGATGTTATAATGTATTACTACGCTTCAACAACTAAGATAATTAATGTATTACCGACTTTTTGACATCTGACCTGACTTCTTGACCTTTTCACCTCCTAAAAACGGTGTAGCACTAAGAGGTTGTTATGATGGTAATATATATATATATATACAGAGTCATCCAAAAAAAAAAGTTATAAGTTGACTGCATATTCAACTGTACAATGGAACACACACACACACACACACACTCACGACAGGTCAATAAAATAAGTTACATTTTAATACAATCTTTAGTGAGCCTGTATACTATCTAGCTGGTGAATGAGTGACGTCAACTATGTGAATGAGTGTTAGTGGCAGGGGGGTGTCTGTTTACTGTGTGTGTGTGTGTGTGTGTGTGTGTGTGTGTGTGTGTGTGTGTGTGTTCTTAACCTCATTCTTACTTCCTCCACCTACCACCACTACCATCTACCACCACTACCACAACTACTACCACCACCCACCACAACAACTACCACCACCCACCACAACAACTACCACCACCCACCACAACAACTACCACCACTACCACCACCCACCACAACAACTACCACAACTACCACCACCACCACTACCACCACCCACCACCAGTACTAAACCCTACGGTAAAACGACCTCACATTTCCCTGACAGACAAACACACACCCAACAAGGAAATTCTTTTAAAAGTCTCCACTTCTTCCTTAACATGTTTTCCAATTAGCATTTACTCATTTGCATAATCTGACTTCCACTCCACTAATCGTCACTTAACCAGAAGAAAAAAAATGGGTGTTAAAGTTTCTTCCAGGTTATTGATCTTTTATCTTCTATAGAACCATTAATGTGTACAGTAACTTTTTTCTTTGAGACAATTTGTGTTTTGTTTTTATTTAGGTTAAACAACATAGGTGGAAAATATACCAAGGTCCTCCCGATTAGTTCCTATGAGATACAGTACAAGCCCCTGTTTCTCCTCGTCCCATATAAACAACTGGATCAGCTTGTTTCACTTTAAGATTAACCACCTCTAACCTAACCTAAGCTAACCCAACCTAAGCTAACCCAACCTAAGCTAACCCAACCTAACCTAACCTAACCCACCCCTAAAACCCTTCAAATAGCATTAGAGTGTTTAATATCAAGGTGAAATAAGCTGAGGGTGTCTACTCTACACTCAATCCCCCCCCGAAAAAATGTAATATACTCACCTTTTGTCATCTTCAAATTAGATTTCATTAGCATAATATAATCTCACTTCATCTTCACGCCATATTACGTATTGCGAGAGAGAGAGAGAGAGAGAGTCATCTAGGTTATTAAGAGGTCCCCCAAGGAGGTTCTTCAGAGACACGTCCCCATCTGTTTGTAATTTTCCCATAGATTCCATCACTACAGTTTTATGGGTAGACTTGACAAGACCTCAAGTGGCGGTAGTTATGAAGCGTCTCAGTGCCTGGCAACACTACACAACAACACGACACCAACACCTAAAAACATCTTCAGAAACAGAGAGAGGAAAAAAAAAATGGGTTTCTTCGGCGTGAAACTGGATCCCTGTGGCAGATGGTGGTGGTGGTGTTTAATTGTTGTCATGATGGTAGAGGTGGTGTTAGTTTGGATGGTGATTATGGTGATGGTTATGGTCGTGGTTGTAGTGTTGGAGGTGGTGTTTATTATGGTTGTAGTGGTGTTGATGATGATTATGGCGGTGTCATAGCGGTGTTGATAATGGTTCGTTATAGTGGTAGTA